GCAGGCTGCATTTACATCAGCTGATCGGTCCTTAACAATTGCGGGTTTGTATAAATTGGGAAGAGCAGAGTAATCATATAGACCAGTATTAAGAGACCCCAGCATAGTATCAGACATAGTAACAGACGAAGGTGTATTCGTCTTCGTTCCGTCCATAAGATACAATTATAGCACAAATTAACGAAAGCGAGAAGATGGTATTCAAAGACGGCAAAATGCTCCCTCGTCCACGAAAATGTTGCCCGGGTGAAGGTCCATGATACCAAGGGAAAGGGGCCCTTGCCTATGCTCTTTGTGAGCAACTGTGAATTAACAGTTCCCATAGAGGTCAGCACAGCAATCTGTGACTATTTGTCTTCTTCAGAGATGACTGATTGGTAAGTGTTCAATCTAAACCACATGATGAGTAAGCAAGCCCTGAATCAGTTGTCGAATACATTTGGGTAAGGTCCTGATTGCTGGGGCCTCCAACCTCGATCTCTGATATTAAACTGGTACAAGGAAGCTTCTCTTCCCATTATAATTCATCAGAAATTCAGAATACGCCATGAAAATGACTGAAAATGACACCTGAGGCAATCAAAGTGAGCACACGCGATCTCCACATCTCTGTCATGTGGGGAGCCTGCTCAACTTGGGCAGATGGTGACAGGCAGAAGTACGTAGTATGTTCAGGAGCCACGGGAGCCCAATCAACATGCCATTTCTGTCCATTAGCACTAGCTCTAGCTCTTATTCAGAAATCTGCAAGTATTTTCTTGTCTATTTTCATGAACTCATCATGATGAAAATGAACAATTGCCTCCATGGCTCGGCTCAGGATGATGAAATAGCTATAGGATGTCGCGTCAAATCAGCTTGTTCAGGTGGGACACAAACTGGAGTTATTATTGACCCAGGAGGATCATTTTTTGCCATGTTTGCATGCGTTATCAACTTATCACATCGGAAACTGGGCAAGGGAACAAAGCTCCTTAATGATTGGGTCTATTATTATTGGAGAATTGCGTATCACTTTGGCTTGATTATAAATGCTTATCCGCCAGCTTCCACTTCTGGAGAATCGAGTCTTCATCACCTTTGGCAGCATTAATATCCCAATTGTCAATATCCATGGGGTCGAACGCTCTACTAGCTTTGCCTTCAAAACATCCCGCATTCAGAAAGCATCATGGTGGCTGAACCTCCAAGAGACGCAATGCCTTCCGAGGCCACGCCGTTGATAGAGCATCCGCTCACAGATAACGACGAAACATCGATATCACCTTCGTTTCTCAGAGGAACGGTCATCACCATCACTGTGGGCCTGTTGCTATTTATTCAAAGTAAATAGATTGCCATTCGGGGTCTTTCACGGTAATGACTAACGAATGCCATTGCAGCCACGAACATATCAATGTTGACCACGGCTCAATCGGATATCGCAGAAGATCTCGACGCCTTTTCGGAAACGACATGGTTCAGCTCAGCATACCTGGTGCGTCCATTCAATGTCCTTCAAGAGCTGTTCATCACATGCCAGTGGGCTAATTAATGCCTCGCATAAAGATCGCAATGTCCAGTGTCTCTCCTTTAGCAGGACGTCTCTGTCAGATCTTCACGGCCCGTACTTATACTCTTTTCTCCGTGACGATCTTATCCGTCGGACTCTTTGTTACTGCCGCTTCCCAAAGCCTGCCGGTCTTCCTTTTTGGGCGTGCGTTATCTGGCTGTGGCAGTGCGGGCGTTATGGTCACCTCCTTCATCCTTATTCTTGACCTTACAAGCAAGAGAAGAAGAGGTCTCTTCATTGGCTTGTTGAATGTCGGAATGACTACAGGAATATCTTGTGGTGCGGTACTAGCCGGATTGCTGACGCCAGTCTTCGGATGGGTATGTCGTCTTTCATCCAGATAATTGGAAACGATACGGAGCTGACCCAGTCACGGTAGCGGCTGATCTTCTGGATTCAAGCACCTGCTTCGTTGATTCTCGGGCTGATTGAGTATCTCGCTGTTCCCGACACGAGGAATACTTCCATGAGTCTGCAGGCCAGTTCTCCCTGGCAAAGACTAGCCAAAGTCGATTATGCGGGTGCCTTGACTCTGGTAAGACTACCAAGGTTTTAATGACAGGGGCTGAGGATTAACCATTTCTTCCAGACAAGTTCAGTATTCCTGCTGCTCTTCAGTCTTGCGTCGCCAAACTCAACTGTCACGGTCACACCTCTGATCTTGAGCCTCGTCTCTTTCGCCGTTTTCCTTCTTATCGAGTCGAAGTTTACATCAGAGCCGATAATCCCGATTGAAGTGCTCAAAGCAAGAAGCGTACTGGCTACCTGCCTAGCAGCTCTCATCTCGATGATGGCTCGCTGGTCTGTTCTTTTTTTCACGCCAGTGTATGCAATGGCGGTCCGACAATGGTCTCCCGCCTCCGCCGGGTTGATCCTAGTTCCAACGAACGCAGGGTTCGGCCTTGGAGGCCTCTTGGTCGGATGGATCCATATCCGCAAGACGAGCAGCTACTACATGTAGGTGTTGTTGCAATTGATTTGAGAAGTCCCAAAACTGACCTCTCGTGCTATAGCTCGACGCTGGTAGTTTTCCTGCTCTTTGCGTTGACCAACTTTATACTGGCCATACTATCGACACCTTCTTCACCTACCGTCGCCTACGTCGTCTCGACCTTTTTTAATGGCCTTTTCATCGGCGCTTCGATGAACTATGCATTGTCTCATATGCTACACCTTACCCATCCAAACGTGCACTACATTGTGACCTCCCTAATAGGCATGTTCCGAGGTTCTGCTGGAAGCTTCGGATCTGCCATTGGCGGCGGCTTCTTTCAGCGGGAGCTGAAGAAAGCACTGGAGAAGGGATTTGGTAAGCACGGACTTTTCGCAAGAGATGACCTTGTTCGTAAACTTTTGGGAAGCCCGGCGTTAGTGAGGAAACTGAGTGGACTGGAGAAAGAGGTTGCCATCCAAAGCTATGAGCATGCAATCAAGCTTTTGATCATGGGCGGCTGTGTTCTGGCTCTAGTAGCGACAATCATCCAAGCTTGTACAGGCTGGAGAGCACCTCACGAGGTCGAGAAGGATGTCCATGAGCATCTGGAGGACAGACTCGATCAGGAATAATAGACTGTCTCAAAAGCTTTTTACATGATTCATTGGTAATATATATGTCCATCAGCAGACTTTGATGCCTTCCACAGTAAGGAGTACCTTATCTTCGCCGGAATAACTCTTGGTGGCCGCAGGCTTCCTAAGGAGCTGGAAATATGCTGAGGACGCAAGGCAACACTTGGGATACGCTCTCTGTAATCGCCAAATTCGGCCTCAACTCAAGGTTGCGCCAGGTCTTATACTTGCCAACGAGGTCACGTCCTTCAGCTCTCGCCACAGCTCCTCAATACAATTCCGGTAATGATTTCTATGTCGTAGGACGTACCCAACATGATCACTGTTAAAGCTCTACATGCAAACGCAATTCGTACCGGAGAATCTGAGAGCTTCGTGGGCAGGAGCCTCGACATGGTGAGAAAGCAGGACTATGAGCCTATGTTTATAAAGCCAAACAAGAAGAAAAGCACTATACCTAAATAGGAGAGCTAACCCCAATCCAGTAATTGATGGTCTTCCAAGAATTGGTGCCTTGGTGCCTTGGTCTCTGCAAGTCTTGGCACTCCGGAGTCGACGAAAACTCGCAATTTTGCAGATCTCACATTTCTTTGATCCCAGTTACAGACTAGGAACATATATTTGCTTAACTCAGACCACTTCTCAATAACTGAGACAGATTTTTATCATGCCTCGTGCAATTAAAGGTGCGCCGATCATTGGATCCTTAAGATGGTTGACTGTGAAACTGTTCTGACCGATATCGCACCATAACAGGAGTGCTCATTGAGTGCGATCCATCCGTTAAAGCTATTATACTGAAGTACGACGAAGAAAGTCACGATTACATTGTGGAGGATCTGGACGATGACCGCCATCTAGTCATCAAGGAAAGCCAACTACAAAATTTGAAAGAAAGGCTAGGAAGGGTACGGATACCAAACTTCTTCAGTGCGATGGGTGTGCTAATATTCGGATAGGAGCTTGATGAGAAAGTAATGCAGCCCGAAGAATCCGAATCGGAGTAAAGAGGATACGACGTCACCCAAACAGCCGAAGCAACCATACGATCTCGTGAAGTTTCGAATGCCTCAGTATGGCCATTGGCCATCGACAGTAGGCCGTCTTCGACGACATTGTTCGAAGAACTATTTTACCTTGATATTCTACGATCGCGACCAGCATGCTCGTCGACAGGAACAGTACTGCGAAAATCGTTTCGAAGAATTCCGTCGAAATCTACACTGTCCACAAGTGATTTCACTGTGAAATCACAGAGCATGATACTCGCAGTAAGACGCGTTGCAAAATGCATTTGTGGTGTGACATAGAGCCAATAATCTCTATCATTTCCATGTCATGATGTGATGCACGTTAGAATTCTGGTCTGGTGGCGAATCCAGATTGTAGCCAGAACCTACGATGGAGGAACAAGTTGTGGCGGAGTATCATGCAATGAACCTAGAGTCCTGTATGACAGCTCATCAGACGAATGAACTGTGATGAATCCAGGACGTTCCATGGACAGCGTCTGGCCAAAATGCAAATTGCTTCGAAGCTTCTCCAAGCTACCTGAAGCTCTTCATGAAGCTCATGTGGAGATTCCCCCCTTCTATCACGTGACCGTCGAATCTCCGCGAATCATCGAGTGCACTCCAGCTATGTGCGTCGACAATGCTCGATGTTTCGTGATGCATCAAGGGACATCCACGGTAGAATCATGGGAGATTCTCGAACCATGGCTCTGGGGTATTTAGACACCTCTGTCACCTCGTCTAGTCGGGGTTCAGTTCACCAGGTCAGAATACAAGAATCACGATAACAACGAGCTCATATCAACTACAACAACCTTAGCTTCAGCGACATCAACTCATTAACAACCTCATCACACATATCCAAAATGTCTCTCTTCCCTACCTTCCACACTCCTGGCGACTTCGCCCCTCTCTTCCGCCTTCTGGACGACTACGACACCCACCGGTCGTCCAGACAGACTTCCTCTGTGCGCTCCTTTGCGCCCCGCTTTGATGTTCGCGAGACCAACGATGCCTACCTTCTGGACGGCGAGCTTCCCGGCATCGCCCAGAAGGACATTGACATTGAGTTCTCCGATAACGATACTCTCGTGATTAAGGGCCGCAGCGAGCGCGAATACCACTCCGGCACTCCCGAGCAGCCCACCCAGGAGTCTTCTGAGAAGGAGAATACCGAGATGGTCAAGTCCAGTGACCAGCAAAAGCAAGTCAGCAGGCATGAGAAGAAGCAGCACCGCTTCTGGGTGAGCGAGCGCTCTGTCKGCGAGTTCCACCGCACCTTCCAGTTCCCGACTCCTGTCGACCAGGACAGCGTCAAGGCCAGCCTCAAGAACGGCATTCTGTCCATCGTTGTGCCGAAGAAGGTCGTCAACACCGGCGCCAGGAAGATTACCATCGAGTAAATGGTCGACAACTGGAACCGTTCTGACACGAGCGTGATGTGACAACGAAGTGACGATAAATTGCATACCTCCTTGTCTTTCCTTTGCATTCATGTGGAGTTAGTTCGAACAGTCTCGACGGCAAGATGTTTTCGGTGGAAGCGCTTTTTAAGTCTGTCCTTTCCTGCATACTCAGTGTACTATGTCAAGCACTAATTAAAATTTAATCATTTTCATTTCAACTCTGGTCTCTCATAATCGTAGTCCATAGTATGTACATTCATTGAGTAGAGTTTGTCACACAATATAGTACAGAGATGTGACTGAGAGGAGAATATCGAACATAAACATATACAGTGAATACAATAGGCCATGCACCTGGCACGCACTATCGCTGAAGAGCGTAAACATCATTCAAGAATTGCACCGCCTCGCCGAATATCTGGTCTCTGAGCTTCGTGTCGATGAATACCGATGGAACTGGTAAGTGACAGTTAGTTGCAGTCCAGGAAATCAGGAATACAAAGTCATACTTTCCAACCACCCATGTATCTGACCCTCGTCGAACCTACTCTCAATGCGGTAGGGTTGCAACCGCGCCTCGGACGAGCCCTGCTGATCAGCCAAGCCGCGATTGATGGCCGCAGCCTCTTCTTTCAACCTCTCCACGAACACAGTCTGCTCGTGCAGCAGGATATCCACTTTGGGAACCACGAACATCATACTCCGGGGCAGGCACTCAATATCCGCCAGGATAGGATGAAGTAGCGGATTGGTCAGGTTCTTCTCCCGTCCCAGTCCTGCGTACGCGTCCATAAGGGGCAGCAAGAAGGCCAGGGGGTCTTTCTCTGGGAATCCAGCCGGGCGGGGTTTCTCCCACGGTGGGAGCCGCAGATCAGTCTGATAATAACCTCATGTTAACCCCGGTCGATGTAGACGTTGGATAAGGTATCTACCGACCGGTGCATAGAACGTCACTGACGCCTTGATACTGAACTCCGTATGCGCCAGCCGCTGCGCAACCCCCAATGCTAGATTCCCGCCAGCGGAGAACCCGCTCACGCTCATCGATCTCGGATTCGCGCCCCAAAGCCGTTCGGCATTCTCGATCAACCACTCCGCGACGTCCTGCACGTCTTCATGTGCGGTTGGAAAGGTATAGCGCGGTGCATATCGGTGGGAAGTAGATACGACAATCGCCCCGGTTTCGTTGGCGACTTTCTGGCAGAATGACGTCTGGCCTTCTGGTAGTCCGCCTAGAAATCCACCGCCGTGGATGTTGAGATGGAGAGCTCTCGATCCAGACTGGTTTTGTGTCCTAGGGTGATAGACGATGGCGCGGACTGAGTGGGCTGGCGCTCGCTTGAGAGGAATCCAGATGACAGTCCGGCAGCCTTTGGTGAAAAGACTGGGGAGATATTGGATTGTGTTGGAGAGTAGTACGATTGGCTGGAAAGCCAGGAGTCGCCAGCGGAAAGTGGGTGGTAAGGATGGACAGAAGATAGCGTCGTAGAGAGGGCCAAACCAACTGTTTAGGAACGACATGGTTTGGTCTTGATTGATGAGAGAATGCGCTGAACTTGGAGAAGTGGTTGTGCTCGTATTCTTGCTGCTTCATTCATGCCACGTGAGTCATCATATCAACGCCCGTGTTCGCTCATCTTTCCATAGCGAAGACATTTAACAAATCGATGGAACTAATGACCAAGTGGCAGTGTCTTCAGAAAATCCAAAGTACCTCTCTATGCTGAAGGTCGAACCCCGCTAAGAAAGCTGAGGAGGCATATGTGGCATAGTAGCTGTGGTCGTCGTTGTCAATTCACTTTCGTGCCTACTATAAAATCATACAGCCATTTGAAGAGAGATAACTTATAGATGCAGTTATACTGAGCAATTATAAAGCATCATAGTATGTCCACTGTGTCCAGTTGTCCGAGGCATTCGATTGCAAGGTTGACGCGCAGAATATACATTCGCAGGATCCGAACAGCTTCCACCTTACTTCTTCCTCTGTTAATAAAGTGTGCTTGACTATAGGACTTTCCTTCTCATTTGTATATTCACATATGTTTTATGCTAACTGTGATCATATAATCTTAAATGCTGCCCTTGTCAAAATCAGTTGAAATTCAGCATAACTTGTCGCTTATCTGATCGGACCGAGGCACGTGAAGTCACCAACCAGAGTAGCATCTCCAACTCTCCGATCCATCTCTAGGATTCTAATTTCTATAAAATTCCTGTCATTTGTTCCAAACGTCTTGCTGTGCTCTACGAACTCTTAAGGCTACTCATTGTGCAATATTTATCTCAGTGCTCGGCAAGCTATATAGGACGGTCAAAGTTACCGAGGTCCACCGAGCTTCTACCCCAGATACCCACTCTGCACATAACATCAGAACAGAGAAGCTTCGCAACATCAGGAGTCGGACCAACACCAGAATCATATCGTCATGGCAGAAAACAACTACCAGTCATTCAAGTACTTCATCGTCCGGTTTCCAGCCGAACATCAATATGTCGCCCACGTGGAGATTAACCGCCCCGACAAGATGAATGCCTTCTTCGAGGCGTAAGTATCCGCTMCTCGGGGTTATTCTCCATTTAATACAAAACAGAACTAACAGAAAGCAGAATGTGGATTGAACTGGGCCAAATCTTCGACCGCCTCTCGCAGGACCCCTCCGTCCGCGCCGTCGTCCTCAGCGGCGCAGGCGACAAGGCCTTCACCACTGGCCTAGACGTCACCGCCGCATCGCAGGGCCTCCTGTCCGCGGACAGCGACAAGGAGGTCGATCCCGCGCGCAAGGCGGCCCATCTCCGCCGTCACATCGTCTCCTTCCAGGACTGCATTACGGCCGTCGAGCGCTGCGAGAAGCCCGTCGTCGTCGCGATGCACGGCTTCTCGCTCGGGCTGGCGGTTGATCTGTCCACGGCGGCGGATGTGCGCCTCTGCGCGCGGGGCACCAAGTTCGCTGTCAAGGAGGTGGATATCGGCCTTGCGGCGGATATTGGGACATTGAGCCGGTTGCCCAAGGTGGTGAGCAGCTTTGGATGGGTGAAGGAAGTGGCGCTGACGGCGAGGATCTTTGGGGCGGAGGAGGCGCTGCGCGTTGGGTTTGTGAACCAGGTGTTTGAGAGTAAGCAGGCGGCTGTTCAGGGGGCGCTGGAGATGGCTGCGTTGATGGCGGCAAAGAGTCCGGTCGCGGTGCAGGGGACAAAGGAGATTCTGAATTACTCGAGGGATCACTCTGTGCAGGATGGTAAGTGCTCTCCTACTCCATTTTCATCTACAGGTCACAAGCAATATCGGCTGACGCACGGCAGGTCTCCGGTATACTGCAGTCTGGAATAGTGCAATGCTGCAGACCAAGGATGTCTCGGCCGCGTTGCTATCTGGGCTGAAGAAGCGCATTCCCACATTTGAAAAACTGTAATTATTTGCATATGTCCCCGCAAGGATGTTCCCACATGGACTAGCCAGTCTCTCTGACTCTACTCTATTTATACTCGGGCCGATGCTCCGTGATTTAAGTTTGAGCCGGGGCAACGTATACGAGTATACCCTATGCCACATGGATTGGAGGATCTAGAACAATCCTCCAATCAGCCACTGATCCTAACCATCTGGAGTATATCCGCCACTGGAACTATCCATTCAAATCCCAATGACGGGTGGAAAATCCACGCAAATGTAATCCATACTCAGCCTTGCTGTGGGGAATTTCATTGTTTTGCATAGAGCACTCCACAATAAACCTGCATCTCTGCAGAAAGGGATATTAGAGCTGACCCCCTCATCTGCTGAGAAATCCGGGGTAATAAGATTCTGCAGAACCGTGCCAAGTTGCGGAGAAGCATCTGGCGCCCCGTGACTCCTTTGAGTTCAGCGAAATCCCCTGAAACTCCGGTGGGCCGAAGGTGTGTCAGATCCTTCTTCACATACGGGCTGAATAGGAGGCCTGAAACGCGGTGGCAGATACACCGAGTTTTCATAGACTTTTTCCACGTATGCCTTTGCTTGTAGTTGTAGGTTGCTCGTATTGGGCGTAGCAGCGGAGGAAATATATAAGAGTGCTGGTTGCTTCAGCCATGAGGGATAGACTTTCATGTACAATTAGATACCCCGGAATCAGTCCTTAAAGCTACAAGTCTCGATTTAAAATGAAGTGCTTCGCTCTCCTATCAGCGCTTGCCCTCCTTCCCGGCGCCTTGAGCGTAACCGTCTACCTGGCGGGTGATTCGACCATGGCCAAGAACGGAGGTGGAAGTGGCACTGACGGTAAGTCCAAAGCAAGGGAGGTCATTTGCAAGATACATCTCTAAAGCTCTCATCAAAACAGGATGGGGTCAGTACATCTCCTCCTCCGTCTCCGCCACAGTATCGAACAAGGCAGCTGGCGGCCGCAGTGCTCGCTCTTATACCCGCGAAGGTCGTTTCCAAGCCATCGCAGACGTCCTGAACGCAGGCGACTATGTAGTCATCGAGTTCGGGCACAACGACGGCGGCTCCCTCTCCACCTCCGATAATGGCCGTACAGACTGTCCCGGAACAGGCGACGAGACCTGCACTACAACTTACAACGGTGTCACGGAAACCGTACTCACCTTCCCCAAGTACTTGGAGAATGCTGCGAAGTTGTTTCTGTCCAAGGGTGCCAAGGTGCTGATCTCCAGTCAGACGCCCAACAATCCGTGGGAGACCGGCTCCTTCTCCTATTCTCCGGCGCGCTTTGTTGGTTACGCCAAATTGGCTGCACAGACCGCTGGCGTGGATTATGTGGACCATGGCGCCTATGTGGCCAACATCTATAAATCTCTGGGCCAGACGACCGTCGATTCGTATTTCCCGAATGACCACACTCATACCAGCCCTGCAGGAGCTCAAGTTGTTGCAGACGCTTTCCTCAAGGCTGTAGTGTGCAGCGGCGCTAATCTGAAGAGCGTCTTGAAAACAACGAATTTCCCGGGCAGCTGCCTGTGATTGAGACCCCTGCTGGTTTGCAGACCATGATGTGGTCTTACCGATAGTCCTTATGTATATGAGAATTGATGCAGAATCCAAATCAGTCAAGTATTCAAAGATGTATTAGTGCCGCAGTACATATCAAAAAAAAAGTTCAACAAAGTCAGTCCACGAACGACGTTCAAAGTATGACCGAAAGTGAAAATACAGTATGGCCGTCGCTAGATGCTAGTCATAAGCTCGTCAGAACTGCACGCTGCGCTGTGGTATCTTTAACTTGAAACAAAGACAAAATGATTATTTTAGTTCCTCCAGGGTCGCTTTGACAATTCCGCGCTTCTCCACACGTCGGTAGTATTGCGCCAAATTGGGATATTCCTCGTTCGAAAACGGTCCGCACGTCTGTACAATATCTCGGAGTACCGGCCACAGGAAGCAGTCATCCAGCCCAAGTGCTGCTCCCCCAAGATAGTGCTGCCCGTCCAAAGCCTCCTCCCATGGATCCAGGGATCCCGCGTTAATTTTTTCACCCTTGCTGTGGGACGTTCGCCAGTCCTGTAAAAGCTCATTGATCTCGAGAAGCTGGCTGCCACCACACAACACTTCCACGCCCGCTCGTGTTAGCTCTGGCGCATGCTTTGCAAGATACTTCATAATATCCAGCTCCCCAGCAACTTCAGTGCCGTCCGCTGTGATAAATATCGGCCGCGCTTGTCGCTTCGCGCCGTCTGCGTCGTCTGAAGAAGTTGCCACCTCGTATCGGATACCATTCTCACTGAGCGCGAGTCGAACTCGGAGATTGGACACAGGGTCGGAGTCCTCAACCAACTGAGCTGTCGACGCGGTGACAAAGTTGACCACATCGAACCCTCCGCCATACACAGCATCCCAATCAAGCTCAGTGGCCTGATTCTCCTGGCCGAACGCGCGAATCAGCCGCTCTGTCTCTACAGGGTCTCCATGGATTACGGTATTCGCCTGACTCTGGTCTTTGGAGACAGCTCCTTGGCCCCAGATTGCATCACCGGTCCCGTTCAAGAAAGTGCCAATGTGTCTGAAGGTGAGCGATATACGTTCGCCTCCATAAGCCAGCTCTTCTACAGATTTCTCGGCCTCCTGCCGCTTGTCGGGCCGTATGCCATGCAGCCAGCGCATGTTTGTCTTCTCTCCCAGGATAAAGAGTGACTCATGCGGCATGGGTATTCGCTGCGTGGGCCTTTGGTCTTCGTCCGCAGCTTTGACTTTGTTTCGGAGTGTCATCGCTCGCTGAGCGCCAAGGCTCACATTGCAGATAAAGGAGCCTCGGACAATATCAAGCGTCTTGTCTGAATGCTCGGATATGCTGTCCTGTCCGTCGCGGTAGAGTTGAATGAGGACGTGGTTGAGCGGGTGACCAAGTATACGTTCTACAATGATGCGGATCTGGTCCACAGTCGGTGTAAAAGGGCGTAAAGGTGGAGATTCATCCGCGGGATGGCGGTATATAGGGACGGATCCGTCATTCAGTGTTTGTCCTTGGACTGCGACAAGACGAGGAACTTGCCCCGACATATGGTACATCTTCTGCCAAGCAACCTCGCTGCGGATACTCGCAAAGGCGTCCTCAGGTAGGTCCAAGTCATAAATGATGCGGGAATCACCCTCTCCAATCTTATCACCCGGCCCGCGTATATCTCGCGACTTTTTGGCCTTACCGCTCCGTCGTTCTTCTGTCCGATTAGACGCCTCCGCCTTTTGATCTTGTCGTCTTGTGCGACGCACACGTACACGTGCCTTCTTGTCTCCCGCAACGTGAGCCTGAGACGAGCTTCCTAGCGAGCCGGATGGTCCGTACCGGGCGCGGGAGCGGGTCAGGCTTGTCAGGTCCAACGGATTGTCTTCCTCTTCGTCAGTCTGCTCTGCTAAGAGAGCATCGAGTCTCCGTCGCCGACTGCCCAACGACTCCGGTGTTCCCTCGCTGGCCGTGGGCCCACGGTTTGTTTTGACATCGAGTTCATCCATTACGCCTTCAATGCCAGCAGGCGTAACAGCTCGCACGGGTCTGTGCGCACTTTGCCGAGCAATAGCGTCGGTCTCTTGCCAATCAAGCTCTTCGAAAAGCTCCTGAGTTGTAATTCCACTGGCGCCAAATATATCGGCCATGCGGCGAATAGCTTCCTCATGACGTACAAAATCGCGGAACCCCAGGCAATCCTCAATGAGGGTTACAGAGAAGCCGTGGCGAACAGCGTCGAGGGCGGTAGCATACACCGAGACATTAGAGAGCGAACCGCAAAGATACAGCTCCGTAATAAATCTTGTGCGAAGAGAAAGTATCATTCCGTCATCTTGTAGAGCGGAGTAATCCGACTTGTCCATCAACGTGTCGTTTTCGGCATCGATAGCAGCCAAAATGGGTGCGGGGAACTGAAAGCCGTTCGACTGCGGCCGGCAACATTGCGAAGACTCGCTCGATAGAAACGCTTCCTCATCGACAGGCGTTTTCGAGTTGGGTCGCTCGGGCCTTTTCTTTCGTTCATCCGTGTCGCGACCTAGCACTATCCGGTCCTGGAAGTCCGAATCTATGAGAGGTCGATGTGATTCATAGTGGGAGCGGACCCAGATAACATCACCGGTGCGACGAAAAGCGGGGACTAGTTGCGCGACATTTTCCAATATATCAGCTGCATTAGGAACATGCAGTGCACCAGATGGGCGAACAAAATCGTTTTGAAAATCGAGGAGCAAAAGGGCTTTTCGTGTCTGGATGGTGGGCAGAGCGCTGAATGCGGAGAGAAGGCTCATTGTATACACATGGTAAGAGGAGCGTAAGTGATGTTCTTAGAAGATATCCGAATAGGACAACGTGAGCTGCCTGCTACAGGATAAGACACGAGAGTTGATTATGACACTTCAATGCAGGGTGGAGAGGAGTTGAGAAAATCACTGATCGTCGACTTTGGAGCCTGGTGGTTGTTGACTCTGGCGGGGGATACGAGAGACCGATACCTCAGGCAACAAGGCGTCTCCGAGACCAAAGTTCCTACAAAGTACCTCTCCACTCCGTACACCAAACGTACATCAAAGTGCTAGCCTACGAGGTACCTCTGTATGAAAAGGACATAAGTACCTCCACTTATTACTACTATGTAGACATGTGACTCTGCATTAACTAGGACGCAGTCTAGACCAGAAGGCAATGGTCCTACATGAGAGTATTAAGTGATATTCACAGGTTGATATGAATCACAATAATGATTACTATTATCTCAAAACCCCCGACTTCTAAGACTCTGTGACTCAACCTTGGGATTTTCTCCATATTCTGGGTGGATGCTCCCCGTGGACGGAGCACAGATTTCCCTATGGGGACTCAAGAAGCGCAGACAGATCGTTCTGCGCAGTGATGGCGGTATTCCTGTTGGCCAATCATACCGCGTACTATCCGACATCGGCCGGGGAGCTCAGCGACAACTCCGGTCACGTGCCTACCACTGCGTGCAGTCGTCCTCGACAACCAGCTTATAAGTCTCAGCGTCCGTCCCCAGGAAACTTTCCTTCTCTCTTCATTATTTTCTTGCCAGCATCAAATCCGTGACCAATCTCCCCTCCTCTTCCTTCCTTTATACGCTTTTCCTCCATCTTTACATCCTACGCATCACAATGGCTTCCCGTGGACTCCCCCGTGCCCTCCGTCTGGCCCGTGTTGCCGCCCCTCGCACAGTCATCTCGGCCGCCCTCCCCCGGCCTGCTCTCGCTAAGGCTGCTACCCGTGTGGCTGCCTCGACCGCTCCCGTCCGTGGCGTCAAGACCATGACCTTCGCTGATTCCAAGGAGACCGTCTACGAGCGTGCGGATTGGCCCCGTGAGAAGCTCCTGGAATACTTCAAGAATGACACTCTCGCTCTGATCGGTTACGGTTCCCAGGGTCACGGCCAGGGTCTCAACCTCCGTGACCAGGGCCTCAATGTTATTGTTGGTGTCCGTAAGGATGGTGCCTCGTGGAAGGAGGCCGTTCAGGATGGCTGGGTTCCCGGCAAGAACCTGTTCGACCTCACCGAGGCCGTGCAGAAGGGTACCATTGTCATGAATCTGCTCTCCGACGCTGCCCAGAGCGAGACCTGGCCCACCCTCAAGCCCCTGATCACCAAGGGCAAGACTCTCTACTTCTCCCACGGTTTCTCTCCCGTCTTCAAGGAGCTCACCAAGGTCGACGTCCCCAAGGACGTTGATGTCATCCTTGTCGCTCCCAAGGGTTCCGGCCGTACCGTCCGCACCCTCTTCCGCGAGGGCCGTGGTATCAACTCCTCCATTGCCGTCTACCAGGACGTCACCGGCAAGGCCAAGGAGAAGGCTATTGCCATGGGTGTTGCCGTCGGTTCCGGTTACCTCTACGAGACCACCTTCGAGAAGGAGGTCTACTCCGACCTGTATGGTGAGCGTGGTTGCCTGATGGGTGGTATCCACGGTATGTTCCTCGCTCAGTACGAGGTCCTGCGTGAGCGCGGCCACAGCCCCTCCGAGGCCTTCAACGAGACCGTTGAGGAGGCCACTCAGTCTCTCTACCCCTTGATCGGTGCCAACGGCATGGACTGGATGTACGCCGCTTGCTCCACCACTGCCCGTCGCGGTGCCATCGACTGGTCCAGCCGCTTCAAGGACACCCTGAAGCCTATTTTCAATGAACTCTACGACAGTGTGCGTGACGGCACTGAGACCAAGCGCTCGCTCGAATACAACTCTCAGAAGGACTACCGTGAGAAGTACGAGAAGGAGATGCAGGACATCCGTGATCTCGAGATCTGGCGCGCTGGAAAGGCCGTTCGGTAAGTCACTTACTTGAATCGCACAATTCGTCTATGACCATATGCTAATCATCGTGCAGTTCCCTCCGCCCTGAGAACCAGAAGTAATTTAATTTTGCATCAATGGGAAGGCTTGGGAAAAGTTACGACTGTACTATGACTTGATTTCTTTTTACTTACATGTGATCCTTTGAGTTATTAATTGGGAACTGAGAATACCACATTTCGTTTATTATTTGTCATATTTCAGAATCGCAATGACTGTAGCCGCACATGTCACCATTTTCGTAGCCGATGACTCAAAATCGGCCTCGATGAGGAGCTCCGCAGTTCGTATTGGAGCTCCGCAGTTCGTATTCCCTTTCCTGCCAACTGAGGATATAAATACTTCTTCTTTTCATTATCGAAAGCGAGATATCTAGAATCTCAGATTCAACATGGCCGAACCTTCCATTACAGCGCGATCATTGACCCCGGATGCCGTGCGCTCCGCCTACGCCTTGATCCAGCCGTACGTCCACCGCACCCCTCTCCTCACCTGTCAAACCCTCAACACCATCGCCTCAGCCCCTCAATCAGCCGAGTCATTGGTCGGAACGCCCTTCGAAGGCCAGGCGCCTGCAAATCCCAAGTTCCGATTCTTTTTCAAATGCGAGAATTACCAGCGGATCGGCGCCTTCAAGGCCCGCGGTGCGTTTCACGCTTTGCTGCGACTCCTCGCAGAGCGGGGTGAGGAGGAGGTCAAGAGACGCGGCGTGATTACGCATAGTTCGGGTACAGATTTACCAAATCATGTTAGGGTGGAGGTTAATGATGCTGACAACGAAATAGGAAACCATGCTCAGGCCCTCGCCCTCGCAGCCTCCACCCTCCACGTCCCCGCCTACATCGTCATGCCCCGCATCAGCACCCCGTCGAAGATAGCAGGGACACGCTCGCATGGCGCAGAAGTCACCCTTAGCGGCTCGACGAGCACCGAGCGCGAAGCTGTCGTGGCGGAGATCCAGGCCAAGACGGATGCGATCCTCATCCCGCCGTATGATCACTTAGACATTATCTGCGGCCAGGGCACGACCGCCTTGGAGATGGAAGAGCAATACCGCGCGCTTGTCTCCGACAAGCCGCATCTAAGCGCTCACGCCAGCGGGCCCGACCTCGATGCGGTGATCACACCCGTTGGGGGCGGGGGGCTGAACGCTGGTGTTGCGACGTTCTTCTCCGGGAAACCTACGCGCGTGTTTGGCGCGGAGCCCAGCTTCGAAGGCGCGGACGATTGTCGCCGGGGACTGGACGCGGGTCAGCGCGTGGATTCCGTCAAGACTCTTACCATTGCCGATGGGCTGCGCACCCCGGTGGGGATCTTGAACTGGGAGGTCATCTCGGACCGGACTAAGGTTGCCGGTGTGTTTTCTGTGACTGAGGACCAGATCAAGGCTGCGATGCGGCTTGTCTTGGAGCGCATGAAGGTGGTTGTTGAGCCTAGTGCGGTCGTCGGGCTCGCAGTTTGCTTGTTCAATGAGGAGTTTAGACGACTCGTCGAGAAGGAGGCTGGTCCGGATGGATGGGACGTGGGTATTGTGTTCAGCGGGGGTAACACTACCGTCGAGGCAATTGGGAAGTTATTCGGCTGATGCTGGAGTCGTCATCGATGTGAAGCACTGGTATATTATAGCATAGCATCATATAGTTTGTGCACATAATGTACATACATCATTATCATACGTAAGACCAAACAGAAGGAGTCATGATATCAAGCAAATTCAACGCCGCCTCTGCCTACATGAAAAGAGAACACGCCACCATTTCTATCCTTTAATCCGTCCACAAACCTCCGAGGCCATTCCTCGCGTTCCCATTCATTGACCCAGCCAAGAAACCTGCCTTCCAAAACAACATTCTGTCGCATGATTGCATCCCGCTGGGCATCACGGGCAGTCATCATCGGCGGAAATGGACGCACCGCATCGCGCCGAACCACAAGCCGTAGCGTCGCGAAAGTGCCCCATGGAGCAGGCAACGGGCAACGAAAAGACGGCATACTTCTTGGTGCCGTCACATTCGCAGGGTTGTACAGGTCGAAAGGACCAGATTGTTGTTGCGTTGACTGGCTGTGGCTCTGATAGCCAGTTACCGATCTGCCGTTTAATGTATTACAAGTGTAGGCGACTATACAGCCGAAATATCGCTGTAGGTTCTTCAGGTTTTGTACTAGTTCCGCGTAGAGATCCGATAAAAAGAATATTCGCTTCTGCTTCCGCTCGTGCTGGACCTCGGCGACAGGGCGTCCAATGTTCTCTGTGCGGGCGACCTCATCGTGTAGTTTATCTTGCCAGAAGAAGGCAGTCGCACTGTCGATGAAAATAGCGTGTAGTGGTCTGTGAGAAGAGTAATGGCGCGAAATGTCGAGCAGGTATGCTTGCAAACTTTCCAGTGTCGCGAGTAAGGAAGCCGACGACTGCGGACGAAACACATGGACGTGTTGTAGTGAGGCCACGATAATGGATTCCAGCTCTTCAGTAGCAAGGAGCGGCGGAGGTATCAGCGCTTCCGGTGACTCTCCAGATCCTGTACTAGAATGCGCCTTGAGCTTTTTGTCTATGAGACCACAGGCAACAGTTCGAAGTCGCTCAGAGTCAAAACGGCCATCTGCATCAATAAAGGCGACGGCCGAGGCCCGACCATCGACTCGAATCCCGTTGATCGTCGATGGCAGGACGGCAATTGCAGTGAGATAATACAGCAAGTGAGTCTTGCCGGCTGCTGAAGATACGCTGGAGATTTCTATGACCGGATCGATTTGCTTTGTGAGAGATGCCGTAGGGAGACTGCGGTCTTCAGCAGAAGCGTTCTGCTCATCCTCATCATCCGCTTGCATGCGTTCTGTCTCATGTTCTCTCTGCTGCTCTTGATATGGATCTCGTCCAATCTGTTGAATCTGAGTCTGCGCAGCAGACAGGGGAGACATGAACACCTCCAAGAGCGCATCCAACGGTTTGACGCCCAACTGTGAGGTGCTCTCACCAGGACTGCAGGGAATTAGACTTCTCAAGTCATGTAGAAGCTGCAAATCTCAGCACGGATACTCTCAAGTAAAATCCGGACATAATACGCAGCAAGCATGCCGATATATGCGTAAGTTAGAAAACATACCTCATCCAGGCGTTCCGTGTGTACTTCCCTCAGCAATTTCTCCCCGAAGCTGGCCGCCATTCCTTACTCGAGAGAGCTTAATAGATGTCATGGATAATTTGGCATCATATTTTGTTATTGATCGTTGTTAATTTTCTACAGAAGACATGGTATTGATCATGGCCTGGGAATTAGTTGTCCCGGTATCCATTCGACATCCGCATCGGTCCCGACTCAATAATCGCATCGCCAAAAGACGGAGGTTTCCGCTTCCATCAACTTTCCTTCCTGCGCCGTCGGATTGAAGCAGAAGATACCATTTATCATTACGATATTTTAGCTTGTATGAACTACTCGCCTCGAACAGAAAGCGACACATCTACGAGATCTCCAATGGCGCCCCTCGTTCCTGTCTTCTCCGCTGAATCTCTCCCCGAGCATGTCAATACCGTCAATCGAAATTTCCAGGAAAGGCGTCGCAAAGGTGGACCAGTCGACCTGGGGAGTTGCCAGTTACTGGAGATGGTGCAGTACTCGTGTAATCCACCTCAGGACGGCATCCCCAAACCAGGTGTTGTGACGTGCAAACCCATTGTGCGGTTATTCAGACGGTAAGTTCCTCTTGCATTACTTGCTGGATTCACTGGTTGACTTTGCCCTTCCCAAAGGTGTGCCGACGGATTAACGGTCGAAACGACGGCGTGGGAGCCCATCAGACTGGCCGAAGAAGAGGCGAAGCGAAAGCGTGCAGCAGGAGAGCCCACCAAGGCGTGATACGAAAGAAGTACTTGCATTTGGCCGGAGTCGAGTTCGGAAGTCTACAGCGATCGGATACCAGGGATCTATCATTGCCATTTCTACCAACTGAATCGCATAAATTGTCTGCATTGTACTCATTGGGTATCTTCTTGAGTTCGCTCAATACAAAATCACAACGCCCGGACGCCGCCCACCGCAATGCGAAATGAGCTATGTGCTCACCCAGCTTTCCACTCGCGAAATACTTGTGGGATCCTTCGTTCCGGCTGGTTTCTCTTCCGCTTTCCGATTGTTGGGTGCCGTCATTCGGCGCCAGAGACCTCTTTCGCAATTGATGACTGGTGGAAGCTCCAGGCTGAATGAGAGCTTCGGCCGAGTCGCCTTGAGCTCCGGATCCGCAGCCGCTCCAGAATCAATATCCATCGTTGCAGCTGTGCCCGGCGCAGTTACATCCTTTTGCATTTTCTTCGCGATGCCTTTGACTGTTTTCTCAAACATACTGTCCAAGCTCTCCATCCTCCGACCCCACAATCTCTTTTCGCGACCCGCCGAGCCGAGTTGATTATCCTTGAATGATGCCCGTGCCAGCTTGCGCAATGCCTCCTCGCCATGTCTTCCCTCTTCAGTCGCGCGCTCACGAACTTTTCGTGGGTCTTGCTCCCGTTCTGTGAACACAGGTGTGTGCCGATATGTATGTTTACTGGGAAATTGAGGGAAATGCCTTGGGATATATGCGCTTCGAACACGGTCACTTTCGCCGCTCAGTTCAGGGCCGAGAAATGGTAGACTCAGCCAAGCATCCTCTTCTGGTGGAGGACTAGGCAGGAGTGAAGGAACAGGTTCGATATTTGGCAGAGGTTTTAAGTGCGGAAGCAGATCGTCCACGCGCAAGTGGTGTCTTTTGAAAGCGAGTTCGAAATCTTGGGGTATAGGTTGATTCCGTCGACTCGAGAGCATTGATTGGCGCACAAAGGATGCGAGCTTTAAAAGGTCTAGCAAGCAGCTTAGCCAAGAACACAGCCGACACATTCCCCTGTGTATATCTATTCAGGTCATTCTGGTAAGAGGTAACATACACTCCTCTGTAGCATAGCGAAAACTGTCCAGCGCGACAGGGTCGGCGAGATCAAATCCGGACTCTCTGAGACATTGCCCGATAGAGCGATTCATCAAGTGATCAACGTGGGCGTCATCGTTGATCGCAGGCTCCGGGAGAGCTGGGATAACGGGATTTCGCAAGCGGTGATGGTGGTGATATGGACGCTTCAGTCGCTTCGTATCAGACCCCTGCTGCTCTGAAGGTGTAGATGAAGAACGTTTGAGAGAGTTTTCCGAGGACACCATGGCGGTGTGGGTGGATGATGATAGACACGACAGAGAAGGTGACGAGAGAGTCTCTATCCGGACCTCGCAAGAGCTTCGCGTCAGGTCACGTGTTTATGCCTGAGGCATAACAATCAGTTACAGAGTGAACGACGATGGAGTAAAGTAAGGAAGATGGATAGATTCTACGTCTAGCATATAGATTTCGTCTATCTCACTTATTCTGGAGCTTAATTGAATCGGTAGTGAGCGTTGGGCCCGAATCCTTGTGCTATCCTCCTGCCCGTTCGTAGGACCCAGTCAGGCCACTCACATCGGTCGCTTACGTGCCGGATCGGAAAGCTTCACCTCGACTTTCAAGTTCGCATCATCGTTCGCTTTCCTTCCCTTCCCCTCCCGCCTGTCTCCCACCACCTCATAACAGGGTTTCCTGTCTGCTGATATCGCATCTACCTGTCTTTCTAAATCGAGTAATCTCATCAATCCGTCGCAATGGCCGCCGCTATTCCTCCCATCACCGGCGTACGTTTACATCCCACCACGTTACATCCGTGCCTCTACCTTCTGTCACTCGGTAGCAGTTGGGTCAAACATGTAATGGCTAACACACTAGATTATAGATGCTCCGCCGTGGTCTTGTCCTCGACCTGAGCACCGCTTTCGGTGAGTCAATCTCATATCGCTCAGCAGCACAATGATCGGGAAGACAAGGAAGAGCATGAAATGTCCCACCAGCTTCCGGGATTCCCAGGACGACCTCTATGTTCCTCTACGGAGCAGACATGCCTTTCCCAATGTTTCCGAGTCACTACATCCAGCGCTGGAAGACTAACCATACACCCATTGGCGTACAGGTTTCGGCACCACCTTCGGTTACCTCTGGTGGTACGGTACGTATCATCGCACCATTCCCAAGCAGGAGAAACCCCTCCATGCTCATGTTGTGGATATTTCTTTCTCACAATTGACCAGGCTACCACCTTCCCCGCGTCCGCGCTCGTGACGCCTACTACACCCGTCTCGAGAAGGAGCGTGCTGCTCAGCAGGCATAGACTCGATAATCCGTTGCTTCGATGCATCCTTCAGACAAAGTCAGCATAGAGAACGGCATCATTGCATCCGTCCCGTTTCAAGATTCCCGTGGCCATTTGTCGTTTGGTGACGACCAAGAATCACATGGAGGCATAGTAGCTCAGGAGTGATCATATCGGTGGCTAGGTGCTCGACGGTTTTGGTGGTAATGGTGTCATACATCGCTTTGTCTGGTTGATGTGTTGAACGAGTCGATGTGCCGGGCTTTCGAAAGGAAAAGAAAGAATTTGTTCAATTATTTCGCAATTGCTCAGTCATTCCTGTTGGTTGTATATATACGGTGGTTGTAGCTCCAGACATGCCGTTTCCTTTGTCCAGCCTCTGTATC